AGTTTGAAAGTATGATTCTAAAGAGGAATTGGGTTCTCTTCAATCAGAAAACAGGCACTCTTTATACTGAAGTTTCCTGTATTGGAAGTTTTCCAAGACAATAAATTATCCCTTGCTGACTGAAACGGAGGTAACGCACTATACAGCCTGTGCAAAACTTCCTTATTAACCGCTGTCTTTAACTTTTGGAAGTCCCAAGAGCCATAGATTACCCAATCCGCAACCACACTTCCATTTTCTTCCACAGACAGACTTCTTAAACATAAATCTTTGATTTTTCTGTCCAGGAAATAACCAATAATCATTGAAGAAATTAATTGACTTTCCATTTCTAAGTTGCCAAAAAGAACTTTTGTCAATGACTTCTTTTTGCTGGCAAATAAACTTCCATATGTTTTGAGTCCCCAGGAGGCCAGGAATTGCAGCAACGAAGTTGCCTTCATTATGAAGCATATGTTTCTGACTCAATACCTCAGCCCAGAGACCTTTTTCTCCCGTGATCAGTCTCCAGGCTAATTTCGTTCCACAAGCGGAGTTGACAGCAGCTAATCTTCTCAAGCCAAGTCCTCCAAATGACTTGGGTAATGTAATCCTATCCTATGGGATGGCGTCAGGAGAGAATAATAATCTCTAATCTCATGGGGTACATATATCAATCTTTCACTGCATATCTATCATAATTACTAATGAAGTTCAGTCTAGTAGAAGTGGCTAATCTTCATAACTTAGTGAACCAAAGTTCGTATATTTACCAAAAAAAAAATGGTAATTAACCTTAACTATAATTATCCTAAATCATAATAATAATAATAAATTAATGTATCGAATGACGAGTTTTCACATGAATTTCAATTCGATTACTTATTAATAATAAATAATTGAATTGATAGTGAAAAATATCACCTGGTGGAATTAATAGGTGACTAACAGAAATAATGACAGCTGAAGAGTAACACGCATAATTAAAAATAAGGAGCTAATCTCAGCATATGTGTGGCGCAATGGCATGATAGCCACCTGTTGGTAGCCGCTATCAGGGTTCAATCCCTACTTGCAAGCTCCGTTTGCCTACTCAAAAAAATAAATAAATAAATAAATAACGGGCTACTGTAAGCCGTTTGAAAAACAATAAATCAGTCAATGAAATCACAAATAAAAGTAGGACAGAGAATTCTTTGAGGAGATTTATTCTTTCCTAACGTCTTTGTCTACATTTATTGCCCTTGAAAATGTTCAAGAAATTTTCTCGATCATAATAAATAAAAAAGTGAAGGTCCCCACGAACTTTTACTCAAAATGCATGTATCACCATTTGAATGTGTAAAAATACTCATGAACTTGTAAAAACAAAACAAAAATGACATAGCCGTTAAATTTTCCTAATTATTTTTTGCGGCAAAACCCACGTCCTTTTTATGAAAACATAAAAATCATCTTGAACTATTTTCAAAGTTGTATCTCACATCCTAAGCTACTCCTTCCATTCCTTATTATAAGATCAAATTTTTTGAATAGGTTTATTTTCTTTTATAAGATTCCTTTTGAGTTTCTCTAAATATTTAATACATTATTACCTATTTTATTCCTAGTTGAATGCATTTAATACATTCTTTTTTTTATTTTACTATTACTCTTTCACATCTAATCATTTATATATAAGGATATATTTGGAAAAAAATCATATATGTTACATATTAATTGTTTTTAACTAATTATAACTGTTTTCTTAAATCATGTAATTTAGTTAAAAAGACCTTATAATAAGGGAAGGAGTAGTATTTAAGAATATAATTTTACCCGCAATATAATAAAAGGGGAGCTATTATACCTCAAGTTAACAGAGCATGTAACTCCGTTTAATGCAACTGAGACATGGATATTCCTTCTTCTTCTTCTTTTCAATAATGAGACATATTTTGTAAAATGCCACCCCTGAAGAAGAATCCGTTAAGACTAAACTCTCCCCACGGCCCAGGAGGATGATGAAAAGCTTACTCTTTCATCTTTCCCTTTTTTTCTCTCCGACTTTGGCTTGATCTTCTTAACAAGCCAAAACCTTAGTGGTAGATTTAAATCAAAATGTTGACAGATTATAAATGATGAATAGTTTTCATAAAAACAATTGAGAACTATCACTTAATCCGCCATAGTCGGCAAATTCAAATGAAGAGCTCTTCCTCTGACTTGGTTGATGCCTTCTTATATTTGTCTTTTTTAAGACAGGAGCATTTAATAGATTCCAGTAGGCATTTATAAAACGAAGAAGGTCATGAACTTTTATGTTTGTCTTCTTATATTCATTTGAAAATGGTGAATCCAGAGAAATCACCATGACTATTACAAAATCCAGACTGTTGGATTGATGGGTCTGCGTCCACCAAAAACAACACCGCGTCTCGCCTCAAAATCTATAGCTCTTCAATCTCCGGTGGCCCCGACGACGACGACAACATCTTGCCTCTCCTACCGCCGCCTTGTGTGCGGAAGAAGAAAACGTCGCTGAGGTTTGGTATGAGCATCGCCTCCACCGATAAGTTGTGTAGCGATGGCTACGGCGATATGGATGAAGAAGAAATAGAAAATCTAGTTCATCATTTAGAAGCTTTTTCATAGACTTTTTTCATTGGAGAGCATTAGCGAGACGCCAAATCAGCACCAAGGAGTTAAGAAGATCAAGACAAATTTACAGAAGACGAACAAGAAATGGATAGAATATGTGTCATTATTAAAAATAAAGAAATGTCCAGCTGTCAATTACATTGAACAGAGTTGCCCACTACTGGCAAAATTGCATTTTTTAAATATTTTAAAATGTTGAATGTATCTTTAAAATATTTTAGGATACTGATTGTACTTGTTTTTTTCAACCAAACAAACTTGCTGGGTTTAAGATAAGCTAAAACATAAAAGTACATTTTCCATGTAACAATATCTCCATTTCTTTTACCTTTCTTCAAAGTCCGTTCCTGTTGTTTTGTTGATATGATTTCTTAAAAGCGATTATTCTTTTTCCTTATATATAGCTGTTGCTTTAAGTAATAAATGTTCTTTTATATTTATATGCTGACATATTATACCATGTATTAATTTGCATTTATTCTTCATGGCGTATTAATACAAATATTTCATTTGTAAGCGTATCACTGTCATGCTTTTAGACATCATTGCTTATTCTTGACTTTGAATTCTTTGACTATTGACCCTATCATATTCACATGTTGACATCTTAAATCATGTATTAATTTGCACTAGACATGCTTCATCCTTGAATTTTGAATCATACAAAATTAAAATATACAATAAAGTAATACTTTATGAAATATTAATATATATATATATATACACACACAAACAATAATTTAAGCTTTTAAGGGTGTGTTTGAGATAATGGTGGCGGAAATAATTTTTACTCAATCTGACTTTTACAGAAGTCAGATTGAGTAAAAGCAGCTTCTTTGAGCTTATTACATAAGTATATTTTGGTAACAGAAGTCAGATACACAAAACATGAATCCAAACATCATTTTTCAACCTGCCTGTTACTTCTCCAGTTGGGATGCACGTTTGGGCTTCCAAACGTGATCCCAAACATGCCCTAAGACATGTGATTGGGAATTTGAGTAAGTTGAAGTGCACAAGTGTAATTTTTTTCCCCTAATGCAAATATTCTTCTACTGGAGACAATCATATTTGAGGTACTGTTGAGCACCTCTTTTCAAGCTAGAGTTTAAACTTGATTTGTCATGTCATAAGGAATTAGCCTTTTTTGCTAAACTCAATTCTGTTGGTTTGCATAAGTATAACAGTACAAAAACAAGAATAGAGCATATGGATTTATGTGGGTATGGTAGGTTGAAGTCAATGAAGAAAAGATGGAAGAATATTAGGGTGTAAAGTGAAGGAGGAGGAGAAAGAGCCAAATTGGGGTTTGGGGGTTTCTTGTTAGTATAGTGAGCAGCTAATGGGATTTGGCCTCATGACCACTTTCTCCAACTCAAACCCATGTTCTCCTTCTGTATAATTAAATCTCACCCACCATAACTTTACAACTCTATTCTGTCCACCCACATATCTCGCCCCCTATTTTGCACTTTCCTCCCCATTTCACCTTATTAATGTCACCTTCTTTCTTTACTTACTTAAATAATCAATTTTAAATACCATCATGACATTACAATATTTGCTAAACCATTCCAGATTATTATTTTTTAATTAATTAATAGGGGAGACAGACATGTAAGAATCATCAAAATATTGGGAATCTCAAAACATCACTTGGAATGATTTAATTACTGTAAAGTTCTTATTCAATATTTTAAAATTATTTTTTGAAAAATGAACTTAACTGTACTCAGTGATATTCAGCAAGAGATTTTGTGGAATTAGTTGTCACACTGCCTATTAAATTGTTATTGTCGTTTTGTTTTTTTTTTCCTTTTTCATATTTTAAATTAAGTATATTTAGGTTATTTCACTGCAAAATTTAGTCTCAAACTAATTACTTCTCCGGTCTTAAATATAAAATTCTTATTGTAGTGTAATTTATACTATAAAAAGAGTCTTATATTTAAGACCAGAAGGGTATCATATTTCACATTGATAAGAGTTAGGCTATTTTTTGAGATCCTAAATGGGGATTGGCACATCTGGGGAGAGTATGTTCATGTCTTCTTCCCACTTTAATATGAATCAACCTGGACGTCCGCCGGTCAAAAAAAAAAAACCTGGACGTCCAATCTTGATGAGATTTTTTTTCCAATTTTTTATTTAAAAATTGAAATGAACTTTGACATATTATTCGGTTAGAAATAATTCTTAAGTAATAATTATTTCAAATCATCATTTATAAAATATCTAATTTAATACAATTCGTTAAAATGTTATTCACTATTTTTTATAGTAGCACATACTTTTTATTTTATTTAATATTTAAAATTTAAATGGTCATTCTTAACCTTCTCTTCTTAACAGTCTCTCTGGGAAGTGCCTTGCGCGAAATTTCTGCTTCTCTCACGCGTTTGCTTTCCTTCCTCTCTCTCCTCCTTCACATATACAAAACTTCTCTCTGTTGGACTCACCCTCCACTCGCGGACTCAACCCAGAGACTCCGGCAAAAGCAGGATCAAAGTTTCTTCATCTTCAATCCGAATTTGGCAGATATTTCCACTCAATTCTGTTTGAGATTGGCGAGGATGGTAGCTGGTGACTACTACAAGATCCTCAAGGTGAATCGTAATGCGACGGATGAGGAACTCAAGAAGGCGTACAAGAGATTGGCCATGAAATGGCATCCAGATAAGAATCAGCAACAATCTGTCAACAAAGAGGACGCTGAGGCTAAATTCAAGCAGATATCTGAGGCTTATGATGTTCTCAGCGACCCCAAGAAGCGTCAGATCTATGATTTTTACGGTCACTATCCACTCAATTCTAGTCGGGTTGATAGGAAAGACGGTAAGAATGGGGAAACTGGGAGCCAGAAGGACAAGAAGGTGGGGGCGATTGAGAGTAAATTGGCTTTTAGCCTCGAGGAACTTTACAGAGGTTGCAAAAGGAAGATGAAAGTCTCGAGGAACGTTCCTGATGAATTTGGGTAATTAGTATCTTCCATTTCTCTTTCATGCATTTTTGGTACTTCGAATTTTGTTCTTATAAGCTCTGCACTAATCTGCTTTGGTTGTGGATTTGTTTGTGCATTTACTCATTCACTCTGGAGACTGAAAGTCTTAGAAATTCTACTGTATGGGCTAGAAACGAAGAAGCAAATTGTGGTGTATCAAAAGAAATTAAACGGTCAAAATTGAATCACGCCGTTTTTTTTTTTCAACTTAATGATCATTTAGTTACTGAGGAGGACCTGACGTTCAGCTTTTAGGAAAAGAAATTGTCAGCTAATCATCTTGATTACAACTTTTTTTTTTTAACCGAGATTACAACTACTAACTCTATTCCGTCCCAGTTCCTTGCCGACGTTTTTTAAATATCGTTACTACGCTCCACGATGCTGTTTTGGCGTTTTTCGTCTTTGGCCTTACACTAACATCATAAAAAACGAATCACAACCAGAGATGCTGAATTGGCACTGATCACGCACACTTGTTCACACTTGCATGCATACACGTGAATGGACATGTGGACAGAGGAAGGTCTTATGTCACTTAATTGCCTTTGGGATTTGTGTTGAGCCGCTGGCTCTCCTGATGTGTATGTTTAGAGTAACAAATGAAGTCAAAGTTGCATGAATTTGTTGTTGGGTTTATAATAATCCCAGATTCTTCACTTGAGTTTTGGGCGTATTTAGTTATTTACTAACCAAACTGATTATCTGAATCAATATGAACATGACGACAAGTTCCTTTGATATTTATTATACAACTTTTCGGTGAAAACATATTAGATCACGTTGAATTCAGCATATTATTATCTGTTTGTCTGTTTCAAAGATTGTTCTTCCACACCATAATAATGGCAAATACTGAAATGACTAAATCTTTAAGTTTTTCCCCTCCATACACCCAAACCATATCTTCTGTTTCTTTTTCTATTCTTGTAAAGAGGCTTTACAAGGCTTCCTTTCCTGTTTTTTTTTCCTTTTTTCTTCTTCTTTTTTTTTTTTTGCAGTAAGTTGAACACTATTGAAGAAATCTTAAAGATTGATATTAAACCTGGCTGGAAGAAGGGCACAAAAATAACTTTTCCTGGGAAAGGCCACCAAGAACCAGGATGTGCACCAGCAGATCTAATCTTTGTGGTCGACGAGAAACCTCATGCATTTTTCAAGAGAGAAGGAAATGATTTGGTTATCATCCAGAAGATATTACTTCTTGAGGCTCTCGTTGGAAAGACTCTGAACCTGAAAACATTGGATGGAAGAGACCTTACAATTCAAGTCAAGGATATTGTTGAACCAGGCTACGAGCTGGTGGTCCCAAATGAAGGGATGCCCGTTTCAAAGGAACCAGGCAAGAAGGGGAAACTAAGAATTAAGTTTGATGTTATGTTTCCTTCAAGGCTGACCACACAACAAAAGTATGAACTGAAAAGGATTCTGAGTGACGCTGATAACTAATTTCAGTCTGTTTTCTAATGGTTGTGTCTCTCCATTAACACTGAGTGGCATGAAAGGTTAGTTAACACTGTAAATATGTAATTCCACAGTTAGATATGAAAATTGTGCATAGAACAAATAAATCAAGCATATCTGCTGCCTTTTCCGCAGCATGTTATTGCTCTGGGAATTAGTGTTTGCTTCTTCGAGACTCAAGTTTTGTTCTTATCAATATAATATATTATTATTGTTTCTTGTCGGCCGCTCTGGAGAAAGTAAAGAAATGTATTAAATATTCAAAGATGGGGAGAATCTGTGCATATTGCTTTCGCTTGATCGACTTGCCTGGATGATATTGCCTTTTCATTCTCTTCTGAATGTTTCTTCTTTTTCTTCTTTCTTTTTGTGTTTCCTTTTCCCTTCTTTTTTTTTTTTTTTTGGGTTTTTGGGGGTGTTTTGGGGGGGGGGGGGACGGTAATATATCAACATCACTAAAGAATCCAATGAACGTGTGGTTTATTATGAAAAGATGGGCCAGGTGTATCACTGCCCATTTATATGATATATAAATAAATATAGGCACCGACACATGTTAAACAATAAAGCAAACAATCGCACCAACTTATTTAGTTATCTTAGGTTGCTGGTATTGCTCCGTTGTAAATGGTCATAGTAGATAGATGTTGGAGAGCCTTGAGACTTCTCAGGGCATGGTCACACAATTACTCTCCTGTGGTTCTCAATCAACTTTTGCAGCTCCTCCTTCCTTACACCTGTCACTCTTGCAGCAACCTTGCCTTTCTTAATCAGTAAGAATGTCGGCAACGTCTGAACTTGGAATGCTTCAGACACCTCCTGTTTCATTTATATATGGAATTCAGATAATTAGTCCATTGTATGATCCAAGATTTTTCTTCAGTTGCACAGACCTAGTCTACAGTGCTACATGTAGATAAAAAAATATAAGCATGCCAGAAGCGGTCCCGTTGAAAAGTATTTTGACATGCTTATATATCTATCCATACTGGTTTAGTCTATTATTTCTTTCTTAGCCTAGGTAAGTTTTGGTAAAGAATTAATTACAGGTAGTGGTGAATATCATTTATTATAATGAAAGGAAAGTACAGTGGCACAAATTTTATTGAAAGAGAACGGATGGTAGGTACCATTAAGTCGTCCACATCAATCTTGATGAACTCCACATCTGTGTATCTTGCAGCATAATCTTGGATGACCGGGTCCATGGATTTGCAGGGTTTACACCATCTAGCATTGAAATCAATCACCATCTTTGGCAAACAACAAATATCTCATCAGAATCAATCGTCAAGAAGATCAAACATAGTTAATGGCGCCGCTGATTTTAAAGAGTATAACTATCAGACAACATACCAGCTTGTTGGTTACTTTGGAGGCATTAAGGTGAGCATTCCATTTGGCAGTGGAATGGAAGCTTAGGATGTTTGATGATGACTGTAAGGATCCGCTAAGATATCCCATGTCCAGAAAGTTGGTTCTTAATGCTGCTTTCTTCTTCTGAGCAAGAACTTATGATCCAAAACCAGAGGTTGTATGAGAAATTAAGGTTGAAGAGCAACTGGTTTGGATATGTTTTGCTGGTTGGAAAGCCATATATATAGGACTACAAAGCTGTGGGGAAGCTGCCATATTGCTTCCTTGAACAGCATCAGATTCTAGTAAGTGGCAGGCTGTAAAATTGACCCTCTGAGCGAATTTATGCACATATTTAGTAACATACGCATCTGCTATATACCTATAATACACACACGTATCAATCATTTTCACGCTGGGGAGTTTCTTTTATATTTTGGACTCAAATTCAATTTTGCCCCCTATAGACTTTTAAAGTACTCAGCAGTATATATTGTATACCGTAGGATAAGGTTGAGAAAATTTATGAGTGCTTTTTGGCTCAGTGGTGGGGCAGATTTTACGTCTTTCTATTCCACAATCGAACGCGCACAATTATAAAAGAAAGGGGAAAGAACCGATGAGCATAAAAGGAGGAGTTCATATTGAGCTTGCCAACGATCCGAGCCTTCTCTTATTTTATGAGCGCATGGTTGTTAACATTTTTTAAGGCTAAAAAATTAAACTTGTGCACAAATTGGGGGCATCTACTTTGTCATAATGGTCTGTATTCCACAATGGGGAAAAAATATTGTCTAGGAATAAAGGTAAAAGAAGGCAAAACAATTAATTAAAAAAATAAGGGAAACAATAGTGAATGGTCCCAAATCCTTAACTTCACCAAGACAAAATAAACAGATATTCACATCCTTCCAGCTCCTAATTGAGCGGCCATATAAGGAATAGAATAAAGTTCACTTTCATGCGTGTGAATTTATGTATATACCACTTGCATATATAACAAGGGATCCTAATTTTGTGACAGACTGAACTTGCTTTCGTATGCAAGAGTTAGAGGGGGGGGGGGGAATGGTGACGCACCCATAACTATCTTCTCTCCAAGATGAAAGAGAATCCATGGGCGTTTTGTCAACGAAAAACAAGTATTCTGCCACAATGTTAATTTTAAAATCACTGCTATTCTATTGTGGGTGTCAATGCATTGTTTCTACAACTTCACCAAGGGTCACACCATGCTATTAGTCCTCACATTCTATGGAAGATGCTTCAGAACTACCATTAGGCTTCACTTTATATGTTTTATTTGTCTCTTTTCTTTTCAATCTTTTGGCCCATGGACAACAAGGGGTTGCTCTAATTTGCAGATATTAAAGAAATTTAAATTGATTATGTATAACAAATTTGTATTGATTTTCCCTAAACTAACTTTTTTAATCATATGGGAACCACCATAGTATGTATAATAGAGATGCTACAGGAAAAGATAAATTTGAGAAATAAAGTAAAATGAGATCTTAAATTTAAAATTAGTATTATATAGTAGAAACTTAAAATATAGACCCATGCAGCTGAAAATTTGAATGATATGCGGACGTATGGGAGGATTTCAAACCAGAAGGCATTAATGCATTGCATGAATACTAACAAGCCTGAAAAGCACAATCAAGTTGAAGACAAAATAGTACCCACAACTCATAAACGTGAACAGGGCCACAATTGTTCCATATATATATATATATATATATATATATATAGTTCAAACGAACACAGATCCAAAAATCACATAATTTTTTTGCCCGGGAATCTTTTAGCTTTAACAAAAATTCCTTATTCAAATCTACATAAATTGATAAATAAATAAGTCAACTAAGAGTGATTTTTTTACCCGCCTCAACCAATCACTTTCACCTGTGTTTGATCAAATAAATACTTATGCACGACAGAATAACATTCGGCGACAAAAGATGATAAAAGACAGTACAACCGGTCATTTGTCACCTTTGAAACTCGAAGAACGTCGATGGCGGGCTAAAAATATTTCAAGATTCGATTAAGATGAGCTAAAAGCAAGAGGCTCAATGACTGTAAGAAATATGGTTAGGTTCTACTTTTACCTTTGTGAGTTTGATTGTTAAACGTATGGCATCTCATTCTTCGGATACAAATTCGAAATCTTATAACTAAATGGTAACAAACACACATTTAAAACGGAAGCAGCTTATCAACAGCCCATAGATGTGAATAGGGCAAATGTAGAAAGCTTATGCTAAGTCTCATAATGTTCGCAGGTGGTTTCTTCCTGTAAGATTTCTCACAAAGGTCCATTACTGGACTACAAAATGGAGTCTGGGATGTTGAATTCTGTCAACAAAATTGTTCAAAAGAAAGTTCCATTCATGCCAAATAAATATAACAAAAGTAAACCTACTACAGACAGTTAAGAACGCTATGAACACCTCAGGATCGAACCCCGACATCAGCTACATGATTTGCTTGACCACCTGAACCATGGTTATCATAGAACTGCCCCCCACCACCTCTGCCACCTCTTCCTCTGTTGTTATAGTAGTTTCTGGGATGATAATTACCAAATTGGTCATGGTATTGGTTGCGGCCATTGTGATAGCCACCTCCTCTTCCGCCACCCCGGCCTCCACGCCCATTTGAATAACCCCTCCGACCACCTCCACTGCCACCCCCACGGCCTCCTCTTTGGTTCTGATAACCCCCCCTCCTGGGGATATACTGTTGCTCCTTTGCCTCAGAGTCTCTTTGAGTCAGGTCTGCATCTACCTGTGGCTTGACCTCTTCTTGTTGAACTGGGACCACCTCAGCCACATTTTCCACCTCTACTTCATCCTGCAAAGCAACACCCCCAAACATCAGATTATCCAGACCAAGTCACAGTTTCTACATCAACTAGCTGTCCAGGAAAACATGTTTGCACCTTTTGATGTTCCTCCTCAGGATCAGATTGATTGTCTCCAGATTCATGTCCTTCAAAATTTGCTGTCCCTTCATCCTACAAAAAGCGCATGGGACTGATAAGTAAACATTATAAACATCTGGGATTTTGTTTTTGCCAGTACAATTGAAGAAAGGGAACTGGAAAGCTTGACTGAAGGGTACGAGCCAAAGAAAGTTCTCAAAATTTAAAAACCAAGCACTTGATAAAACTGTTAAATTGATCCCTTTCTGTATAAATGCACCTCATTCTAGTGCAAATTAAAAATTACAAGGAGTGATAAAATGGGAACAAATAACCTCCTACAGAGTGGAAAATCGCTGCCGTCAAAAAATGACTGGGAAAACATTAGAAATAGAATCATGAACTAGCCAAGCAGATTTTGGAACTTCAGATAGCTGTGAGCCAAATTAGCTGTCAACTGTCCACAAATGATCAAACCCAACTAATACAAACAATATATATCCATAGAATACCACTGCCAATGCACACTGTAATCCATGCTGACAGGCTCAGGTAAATTATAGAAGCTTCCCTCAGCATGATTCTTAAGTAACCCGTTAAGCCATGCTTTCACATATTTAGATGTGCTCAACAACCCCCACCCCCAACCCAAAAAAAAAAAAAAAAACACCCCTGAAAGCACCCTTCAATGCCCAATTTTCACAAAAACAAACCTTACTTCAGAACACATATAAAACTTGCTTGTTTCACAGTGCAGCCAAACAGACACCCAGCATATTCTATATGTTGATGACTACATAAAAGGTTTCATCATGTTTCTCCTCACCTTATCAATTCTTCAGAGTGAATAAACAAGAGAAAGAGGAAAACAGGTGGTTCTTGCAAAGAACATTCATCATAAAAACTACAGGGTGATATGTAATTAAATTTGGAACCAGAGGGAAAAAATGGGATTTGATTTTATTCTTAAAACATATAAAAGAGGGATTTGATCCATATGGTAATAAAAACTTTTATTACAAGTTCCATCATAAATACAAGATAACATAAAGAACATACATCCGCGGGAAAACCAAATATTTAAAGAATAAAATAAAGGAAAACTCTATTTCCTTAAATGCGGACTTTTTGTGGCCAATATAGATCTACATAATCAGTTTGCAGATTTACTGGTGCCAATATTCCTAGTAACAAATAATACTGTCGCCTCTAACCAAAAAAGAAAACTATGCATGGCAATAAACATATTATCAAAAGCAACAACATAAGATAATACCCCAATCAGTCAGACATCAAATAAGAAATACTACTCCATCCCTAATTATAAGAACCTTATGGCTAAATTATGCTTTTTAAGAAAACAGTTAAAATTAGTTAAAAGCAATTAATATGTAACAAATGTAAGTTTTTTTCCAAATATACCCCTAATAAATGCAAGAGAGTAATAATGAAATAAATAGAGAGAGAATGTAATATATGAAATTTATTAGAGGTAAAATAGGTAACAATGCATTAAATGTTCAGACAAACTTAAAAAGAGCCTTATAAAAGGGGACAAATCCATTCAAAAAAAAAAAGGATCTTATAATTAGGGACAGAGGGAGTAGCTATAAACTACAGTCAAGGACTGGAGCTCTGGTAGTAGATGACCATAGGCATCCACAAGCTGCTTTAGCAAGCTTGCAAGTTAAACAAGCTAGAGTTTGGAATTGGGCTCAATTATTTAAGTAACACGCCGACTGTAAGCTTTATACTCTAGCAGTCTTGCTTTTAAAACATATTAAGTACCATGGCAACTAATTATGATAATTATTAAACGCATTACTCTGGCATGAACTTAAAGTCATTTTTTTTTTTTCATCCTTTTCCTCCCTCAGGAAATCTAAGACTGATAAGTACCTTGTACTTATAGTTTCCATTTATTTGAATAATGCACTAAAATTTGCCTGTGGAAATTAATATAATTTTATGATTGTCTGATTGCACGATTTGAAGCTTCCACATCATTAATGATGTAAGCTTCATTGTGGCTATCTGGCACTGTTTGACGCAGCCCGAGGCACCCAATGCAAGCAAGAAAACCGGTTACAAATAGCCAGGGTGACTTTAGTTATATTCATTCATTATAGTTGATAAAAATTACCAAACGGTAGTAGTTTTCGTAGAGGCACTCTGGTGAGTTTGTTAAGGCTTGATGATTGAATAATGTTTCTTTAAAACCTTAAATTAATTTCTTTGTCCAAAACTAAAGCCAAGCAAAACCCCTTTTTAACCACACAAGCCCATAACTTTGAACATGGCTCAATTGTTCACACAGATCAAGGTCAAAACCATCCGTTACCTAAAAAAGGAAAGCCCAAACGTTGGTGCCCCAATTAGCCTGGCTGAATCACACCCTCAATTAGATGATTCGCATAATAGATGTTGAGGAGGAATGTACAAGCTTATCTCCAATGAAGGAGCTTTATCAAAAGCCAACGGGTAATATCTCACCAATAGGGGCAGTCGGGCAGAGGGAACAGAAAATGGAACACAGTTCAACGTGCAAGGATATGATTTGCTTCACTATGTGCAATCGTCCTTTTGATAAATCCCAACGATGAAAAAGTGACAACAAGGAATGTATCTCATGACACAGAATAAGGCTAAATAATGAGTCACCAAAACTTAAGGGTGACACACGGAAATAAGAATGGGTAGATTGATCAAAATAAACACCAGCCCAACTTGTGTTCATAACCCAGCACAAATGATACCACAGCCATCTATTAAAAGAAGAAATAAAACTTGCTGAAATTTGAGGTGTTACTAATCTTCCACTGAAGGGAATGGCTCCCCTTCCAAGCGAGAAGGATTTACCGCAAGTACCATGCTAGAACAACACAGGCATTCATATCTAATAAGTAAAAGTCTTCCATGCACGTCGTATTTCCTACTCAAAACATGCTCAGGAAAGATTTTTCACAATTCAAATTACCAATATAATTATGATTCTGGTAAATACTTTTCAACAAAATGCTCATTTAGGCATATACATGTCCAACGAAAACCAAAATTCATACCAGATAATAAATACATAGTCATGCCCGCTTCAACAGTCTGTAAGTGAGAAAAAGACATCGGAAGCTCATAATCAAGAATTATAGAGGACAAGAACAATTTTGATTGGATTTTGTACATAAAAGTTTTGCGCACACTGCATCATATATGAAAGAAAGAAAAGAAAGAGCACAAGCAGCAAAAAATTCTTCTCCCGCCCTTCCCTTTCTACTTTCAAACAACTATCAGAATTACATTTGGGTATAAATGTTAATACTCAAACAACAATTCGTTGCACCAAACAAAGCAATGTAAATTAATGTTGGTGTGCAGACAATTACAAAACGAATGGCGAAAAGAACAATATACTGTTGAAAGTTGAAACCATACATAAATACCACGCAATACAAAGTCGGTACACTTACAATTTACTATTGCAGGATAAAAACCATGCACTAAAGATGGATCATATCCAAATCAAATAAATAATATAAACTTAATGAGTCCGCAGATATACCTTTTCTTGGGACGGCGAACCTGAGCCTTCCACTTCGACTGGAACTGAGGCAGGAACAACGGTACCGTGTACTGGCATCTGGAAAGAAGCATAATTTCCAGCAGCAGCTGCAGCAACTTCAACTGGAGCTTTCATCTCAGGTGTGGTGGTGAAGTATTCTGAAGACATGATCTTGTTTAACCTCTCCCTCAAACCCGAATCTAGAAATAAGCTCAGAATCAACATGACGCAGCGAAATTGAAGAGGAAGAGAAAGTAGCAAATTAAAAAGAAGTTAAACTTGAGAAAAGAAAGATACATGTGACATCGGCATTTGACTCAATAGGCTGGTCAGCCTTCGCAAGCCATAGCTTCGCATGCTCTATGCACCGCTGCAACGCGTTCTTGTGAGATAACCTTGAATCCGCAGGCCGCGATATCAATAGACCACCCAGCCTAGAAATTAAATCCAAGTCTTTCTCACCCAGAAGATCAGTTGCGTCGTCGGTGACATAATCGTAGGTTAAGCAACAGCCTCGTTCATGGGTCCTCGTGAGCATAGTCGAAGTGAAATCATTCTGCGACTTCACGTCGAACAATGACCCAAAATAAAGGAGATTGAGAAGATCTTCGACCCCAGGGTGGTTAAAGTCGTCAGCTTTCTGGGGTTGTTCGTCGGGTGAGACGCGGTGGTTCTGAAGGGCTAGGTCAACTTCTTCCTTAACAGCAGATGAAAGGGGTTGACGAAGCTTCTCAAGCTCGTCGATGAGCACGGATACAGCAGGCTTAGAGCGAAGGACTTCCTCCTGCTCTTTGTTGATTATTTTACCCTGAGCAATAGACTCCTCCATCTGAAGAATACGATTCATTTTCTTGCGAAGCGCACGGATGCGCTTGTTCAATAAACTAAGAACAGGGCCGTCCGTAATCTCAGAGGCTGCTGTAGCCGCCATTAGCACCGCAAATACTCTTTTCGCCTGGTTTGGGTTAATCCGAAGAGCACCGGCAGGTGCCCCGGCGGTGGGCACAAAAAAGGGGAAGGAACGGAGAGGAAGATTGGGAAGGCAAAGGGAGGCTTCGAACGGCGGCAGAAGGCGGAGCGGTGAGAGAGGGAGCCGAGAGTGCGCGAGCGAATAGCTTTGCGGAGATACTGACTGGGTACTTTGAGTGTTATTAATAGCCAGTCTCGCCAAGGATCCTCAGCGCGTTCTGTCGTCCTGATTTCTGGATGAACCTAAGTGGGCCCTGGGCCGGAGTGGTCGGTTGTCGCATGATTTGGATCCACTGGAACCCGGGCACAATTACGCAAAGCAGTACATCAATCACATAATTGGTTAAAACGTTGGCAAAAAAAATTAAAAATTACCAAATCTCAAATTAGATTAGATAACAACACTTTATTTTACATTAACAATACTGAATTTATAAATAAATTTTTTTATTAACATTTCTAATTTTATATTGAGTAATTTTCAGCTTTTTTTTAATCATTTTCTCAAATAATAATTGCTTAAAACATTATAAATATCTCGAGCGAGTAATGAAAAAATGAAGGGAACAAATATGAGTTTTATATATTTTTATCTTCATGTCCCTTTTTTCACATAGAAACACGGATTTTCATCTGAATTTATATCTTGCAAGTAACATTAGAACGAATGTCAAAATAATAAAAAATAGACCGACCAAAAAAAGCAATAAACCAGACATTAATCCTTCCCAAGACAAGGGTGCGAGCCCTTCCAAAAGAGAATAAGGAACTATGAACTCGTGAAAAACCTATAAAACTATGGGTGGTCATTATTTTGATTTAAATCACATTTCCAAGATATATTATATGCACATTTATAACTAAGCAGCATTGAGACTAGATGACCAGGAGTAGGCAAACGGGAAAGATACGTGTATAAATATGTATACGTCATAAATATCTTACATTTCAATTTTGTTTTGAAACGTACAAAATATATGCACTTATTGATACGTATGGTCAGAAGTTATTTCACTTTTATTTTGGCCGAATCTTTTTGGCCAGAATTTATTAAGCGGAAAGCACGATAGCCAAATCAAGGATGAAAAGTCAAATTAAGCATCTCGAAGCAGGCAAAGCAAGGGATTCCAAGTTCCAGCCTAAGGAGCCAGAAGTGAGAACAGAGCATCAAGTCCCCATACAATGTGCATATTGTCATTTGTCATCCCAGGAGCCTGATTGGGCGGGAACAGTTAATTTACAATGAGTCAAGTATAATAGCTCAGTAAGAAGACCACTACTGATTAACAACAGATGACAAAAAAAGGCCAAGTTCATAATTCTGATCACCTCAAGGCAATTGGAAGCGATGCAGGCAAGATCGTTGAAAACCGTGTTAGAAGAAACTGACTTCTCTGAGGTTGAAATAGAGTAGATAGTTGAAGCACGCAGTGTACAAGTTATGTGAAAAGAAGCCGCGGGGAGAACCATAACCCCAATCATCATACAAAGGGTGATTAGTCCAGAGGCAAATTCATCTGATTTGCTTCATGGGTCAACGTCTTCAGGGAAGGTGGCTTTGTCGGCATTAATATATTGCATTTCCTCCTTCCATGTCTGCAAAACCCCAACATCATTATCCAGAAAAGATAAAAATCTACCTAGCTGCATCAAGAACAACACACACAATGTTACGATTTACTACCTCATGTCGGAAAGAGATTCTCAAGCTGGGAACATTCGTCTTGCGAATATCATTTCCTTCGGGACCTCTCAAGAAATATTTATCCCCAAGCCAATGCGCCTGTGAAGGCAAGAAAAATTATAATAATCATGTCAATGCAAAAACGGAACATTCGAGAATCAGGAGCTATAAACAAAACGTTAAAGGAGTCTGTCCTCTGGAGAACCTTAATGACCAAATTAGTCATATTTTTCTTCTAAGGAATGGATTTCAACTATGGGACGGGTATTCAGCAATTCAAATTGCTAACCAGGGAATTACGTACCATATAAATGTAATAAGGATTAATTTCGCCTTATTTACACCTGGTGCATGAGGTGCTTGTCAATGCGCCCCATTTGACAATTTGCAATCAGTGAATAGGCACAGAACAACACTTTGGACCCGTGCCACGAATCATGGTATCCCATTAACTACCGTTACAGAACACCTAAATTCCAAGTATTGAACCACCAAGGAGCAAGACACATCCATACATAGTTTGTTCAGCACATGAAATCAACAATATAAAATATGAAATCTACAGTGAGCCGCACTATTAACAAGTCATGGAAAGTACAGCTCCTCTCATATACTTCATGGGGGATTTTTTAAATCTTCCTCCACACGCTTCATTGCGCTGTACAATTTTTACAGTTACTCCTTCAATCTTTTTTCACACATTTTCAACAGGGTTTAAAATTTATAAAACTAAGTACAATTTTCCAGAAAGTTATGATATATCTTGTGCATCGCATGGGAAAACACCAAGATACAATATAATAATTTAACTGCATATAGTACAATAGAGACCCACATGAACTAAAACATGAACAGACATTCCTCATTTACCTTAGCTTCATGGGAAAATCCAGACTGATAGACAGAATTTCTGGCTATCTCACACAAGTCACAGGCACTGAGCTTCCATACCTGTAAAATACACAATTTTGGTACATTACACATAACAACCCTTAAAATGAGCAAACAGAAGATTTGATGAAATTCTATCAGCCAAGGAATCAAAGATAAAGGCTTCAACTAGTGAGGAGCAAACCTTAGCAGCAACACTATATTCTTCTAGCAGTGGCTCTTTAGTCAGATGAATTTGCAGAGGATCATCGGAGGAGAGAGAGACATTCAGACCTCTCTGGAAAAACATGGGCATTGGATTGCGATGATAGTCCAAGAAAAGAGAATTATTGCTCAGGGGTGACATTGATAAACCAATCTGAAGATGGTATTGATACAAATTAGCAGAAAATCACAAGTTGCAAGAATTTCCCACTAAAACTATCTCAAGCTTAGTGTATCAACAACATCTCTCATGTGAGAAGGGCTCAAATCACTATATTGGCAGAATAATTTTTTTTGAGGTCTAACCTGTGCAAGGTAATATAAATATTGCAAAACTGGTGTTTTCCGCAGATTAATTCCATGGGAAATGTTATGGCAGAGGAGGAGAGCAGCAGCCAAATGATCAACATCACCTGCCTGCACAGCTATAATAGTTATACCCATTTCAACAGCGACCATAATGGATAGATTGTGATACAATGATATAAATGATAACCTCTCCACAATGAGGCCGCAATTTTATAGTGGTCATTCCTTTAGATTCACGCAACTGGAACCAACAGAAAAATATAATTAAGTTAAATTTGTAGATAAACAGAAACTCACTTAATTTGTTAAGGCTTGAAGCAGGATGAAAACAATAGAGACCTTATTTAGTGTATACAAGTTTGCATAGCAGTAATAAAGGTAGTAAGAATAAGCTGGATTAAATTCATTTGTCCACTCAGCTGGGGTTGGCATGTGCTTAGTTGGGCGCCTTTCTGGTTTACTTTCATCATCTACAAGATCAAATCCCACCACCTGTATTTCGTAATAGCTCAACATAGCACATCAGTACGTTACCAAAAAAATAATAATAATAATGCGGCAATATCGAGACTAAACAGCATAACTATTTCCTGTGTTCATTATTTAGACATCCTTTAAGAAGACCGCAATAAAAAGGAGTTGAGAGTGATTCATCATCGCTTAGCATTAGCTATCACTAACACTTAACAGAAATCCAGTACAGAGTATAATAGAAATAAAATTGTTGAACAAAGAATTTTTAGGTTGTATGTTTAGGTTTTCTGAGAGTTTTCTTTGGCTTCGGCTATCAGTGTATGTAACTTGATATGTTTGGTGATCAATAAAATGGACTTTTTTTTCTCAAAAAAAAAAAAGAATCAAATTTGAGTCCAAATTATCTCAGATGACAGATACCAACTTTGTGCTCAGCCACTTTTAACAACCCAAGGGGATACAAGAAGTTTCTGTACACCACATACGGGAATTATCACTCCAGAAGAAACTTAACAAGGCAAAAAATTATCTTCAATTGAAATATATGGACAGTCTTTAGTAGCAATAGGTAAGTTTCATATGGCAGCAAGGACAAAGCATCAGCCTAAGCATGTCTCGGGTACTGTAGCTAAAACATGGTTACAACAGCAGGTTAGAAGAAATGTTAAATACTCGGTAGTAATGCAACCTATTGATTGGGCAGATGCAAGCACACATAGGGGCTAATGTGCGTACAAAGTAAAAGATTGACTAACCTGCATCAAGAACAAATGTAATTGAGGATGAGAATTTGGATCCACTGTGGCTTCAAACAGAGGAATAAACACATTATCCAGAATATTTTGAAATGAGGTAACAGTTCCCATCTTCTTGTACACATTGTATAGCCGTGGTAACTGTGCCAATGGAAGATTAGAAGAAGAACATAGTTAATAAGCAATAGTCCCATAGCTCAAACAAGACACAAGGGAAAAGATTGCATCAGATCCTGAATAAAATCTTGCAAAACAAAGATCAAAATGTTAAAGGACCATACAGGGAATTGTTGCAGGGGGTTTTTTATACTTTTATCTCCTTGTTTAAAGAATTGGATTTATTCTATATAATTTTCCAGATGTACATTCTTTCCTTAATGATGTGATCAATTTTTTGAAATAAGACCATTTTGGCAACACATTCAAAGAAAAGACAAAGAAAGAAAAGAAAAACCCACCCCAGTGACTCCCAAGAAAGTTTGACACACAAATTAGATCTGCTTAGGTGTGCTTTATCCAGAACTACTTAGAATAAAGATACTTAGACTAGAAGAACACTTGGGAATGTTATTGCGCTGTGAAATCTGATGGATTCAACTGGCTCTCCGTTCTGTTTGGTGGAAAGGCTCAAAATCTTTTCCTAATAGGTGTACTAGGGCAAGGCGAATTCCAACTCCTTCATTAGCTGATCTAGTTCTCCCTCTTTTCAATATATATCCTATAGCTTGCAGAAATAACTGCACGTCATGTCGGCCTCTCACTATGGGTCTGCTGCATCAAAAGAAAGAGAAGCCCCGTCCCTCTCTTTCCTTTTATGAGCCCGCCTGTCTAGCTGATCTTTAAGCTTCCAAGGATTCCCTGGTGCCCCCCCTCCCCAAAAAAAAAAAACCCACAAAAGAGATCTTATTCCCTTTTGGTTGTTCCTTCAGGTCCTAAAAGTTGCAATAAGATAAGGAACGATTGCTCCTGTGGAAAACTATACAAATGAAGGCTACTGTAATGTATTAAAACTGATTCTGCCTTACACGCATGCGAAGTCAGTCTGTACCAATCTCACAGAAAGATGAAATGACAAATAAATGAAAACCAACACTAACTTTTGATGCAGTGATCAAACAGATCTGGGGTCCAATGATCAATCATCACACCATGCATTCACAAAAAAATGCTGCAAGAATAGGAGTCTGAATAACAAATTACCTGAATTAACCATATTGCACTCTCACTATAAAGGGAATTGTTTACAAACCAACTTGCCAATTGATCCCATTCACTCTGTTTTCTTCCATACACGGAAATCCTATACTCAGCCATCTGCAAATTTTACGTGTACAAATGAATCAAGATATGAAATATTACCCCAGTAAAGAATCCGCCACCAAACAGATAATAAACCTGATATTTGCTTGCTTCAAGATCTGACAAAACTTCCTTTGTTACTTCAGCCAAAAACCTTCCTGTGCATTTTGGGTGGCCTTTAGTTATTGTGAATTGCAAAAGAAATCCACTTATAACCCTAAGATTTATTATAAGTTACTAAGCTGTATAAATTATTGGCATCTTCCTATTCTCAAACAAACCTTGGATAAGGTTATCCTGTTTTAAGAATATCTCCCTCAGTCTGCTTTGTCCACAAGGATTATACTTCAGGTTGAATTTGTCAAATCTATGGAAGGTGCTCTTATCCGCATGACAGTCCAGCAAATCAACATTCAGATCATACCTGCACATGAATTGCTACTATTCAGACAACATGAAAATATGTAACCACACCATAGATATGTAGGACTACTGTAGTTGATAGTCAAGCAGAACTACAGTACTGCATACCCTGTCAAATCCAAGCTCTCAAACACCTCCTTCAGTGTCATATACTTTCCATCTCTAAATATTACAACCTGCCAACATAGGATAATAACGTAACTAAGAAGCACCGGCAATCTAAAAATTAGAAGAGCAAAAATGAAAAGTGGGGTCAAAAGAAGCTAAACATGAATTAAAAGATAAATTCATAACAACTTCCACCTCATCAGGTTCTTTTTTTAACTTTGACTTAATGAAGCGCAGTAGATGCTTCTGATTCATGCACGCAGAATGATGGATATGAGTATCAACTTTTCTAATATTATAAAAATCTCGGTGTGGTGCACTTTTCTGGTCCAAAAATTCCCTGTCTGCCTTCAGTAACAGATGAAGGCGGAATTTCTGCATAATGATCAGATGAAGGCTATAATTAAATGCCACAGGGGGGGTGCAGAAATCAGATAAAAATAAATTAAGAAAAACAAACTTACTTCCTCAAGGAATCGTAGCCTATGGTAGCATGCAGAGCGAACATTTCCATTAGCCATAACTTTAAGAACATAATGCATATCAGTAAAAAACTCCGTTGAGTTTGCAACTGGGAAGAGCTCTTCAGAGTCTGCAAAACAGTTTCTTCGAAAGCTCAGTTGTTTGGATTTGAAATAAACAAAATATTCTTACTAAGGAAACTGAAAAGGATTATCCATGTTTAATCGTAGCCAAATCAACATGTATTATATAAAATTTTTAGGAAGATACACTATCCATACGTCATGAACCATGTTGACTCATTTCAGATTCCATGCAAACACTGGGCACACAATCAAGTTGTTACACATACACACACATATCAACACTGTTTTGGGAATTCTCCAAACACAATAAGCATTTGGAAAAACCTAAATAGTAAAATGAATGGTGCTAAGTTAATTGAGGAAAAAAATCATTTTCTTAATCATAGACAATTCGCTAGACATATATCAAAACCACTGTAGGACTTTCTCCTAACAGTATGCTTTTGGGACAAGCGCGTCTTTGGCATTGCATGGCATCAAAACCTTTATGTGCTGTGACTAAGTGGTTAAGAGTTTACTTTTTGCCATCCAGCATTCTCCAAATTAAATTATATTACATGACTGAATATGGTGGGATTGCGCTTTGTCCATGCTCAAAGCTCAGAACACAGTCGTTTGAAGAGAGTTTAGAGATATAACTAAAAGTCAATCCAAGACCTTCTCCTAAAAGATTCCCCTTTTGGAAAGAAGTGGTCCTTGATGCCTACTAAGGACCAGTTTCAGTGCTTACCATTTTTACTTGCATAAACATGCACAACTCCATCTTCCATCCTAAAGTGATGCTGTTTGAAACAACAAAAGGTCGGTTATAATGATATCAAACTAACAATCAAAAGAAAAATGACTTACTAGTTTACATACAGATTTAACTTGCAGCAGAAAATATCTAACACAGATCCATAATGGACAAGCAGCGAACATACTGGTGATGGTTCAACTGTGTCAAAGTGATATGGATCAGAGTTCTTTGCCAAAGGTTTGGCCTTCCAAGGAGCAACATTTTCTCGGTAAACATATTTCTTACGCAAATTCAAGCATTCACGAATCATCTTGCATACTTCCTCTTCTTCAATATTCGTGGACTCTGAAGGTTTTGTAAAGAAGAAAAGGACAAGTCAAATATTTACCTCTTCAATATCTCCTCGTAAGTAAAATAAAGGAAAACATACTACCCGGTTTAATATGGCTAAAAACATTTGTAACACCATTTGCCTCAAAATTGGGAGCAAAATGGAAAGATAATATAAACATGTAACATGCATGGCAGAAACAATTCAAAAAATATGTAGCATAAAAAGAATTTGGAAGCAATAAGCAGACAGAACATGATAGGAATGTGAAGGCACCTTGCACTGCAATTCCTGGTGGCAAGATAGTATTGGAAAACGTGAGACCATTTCCCACTAAATTTACAGAAGTTGATCCTGTTTTTCCATCATGTTGCATATCTGCACCAGCTTTAGGTTCTTTTATGGTCTCACTGCTCATCTGGCTGTTTACACAGCTCGCATCATCACCTCTAATTGGAATAGCAGACAAACTGCATATGTTTGTACTTACTCCCTGCAGCAACACACGTCAGTTGAAAACACGGATATAAGACTACGAGTAATACTTTGCTAAAAGCGAGTCACCTCTCAATTGAGAGAATTAAGGATCCTGAACCAATACAATCAAATGTGATTGAGAGAATTAAGGATCATGCACCAATACTATCAAAACTGTCACATTACAAAAGCATCCGTTCATTTCTAATTTCTTAGAATTGTCAATTATTTGAATACTATCTTGACAAATACTAAGCAGTTCGTCTAGAACTCAATAAATATATACAACATCATTGTAGAAAGAGGTCCGCAGGAGCTAAGAAAGTATATTCTCACATAATTATTTGAAGAGTCCATATCCCCCGCATAGAAAGGAATACGATCATCATTTTCAAGGCCAGGTCCTTCTTCGTCAGAATCTTCAGCGCTTTCAAAGGTATTACGGCTGGGAGACCTTGGAGTCTTAATTCTACTAATAGATGCTATTCTTTTGTAGGAACATGAAAGCTGAGCGTTCTCTCCTGTAAAAACCACAGAGCAAACAGAAGGCAAACGACAATTCAAAAATAATTTCTTCTTGATTAAAATTGCACCTCCACATCGCAAGAAGAACAATTTCAGTCTTCCTTGCGTCCAGCCTGTAGCTATAAACATAAATGAAATAGCATATCCTTTGAGAAAAACTAACGAAATTAATCCAGAACTTGAAAAACATACTATCCCTTTGATTCGTTCGATGTGGAGCAATCCCTGAGGAAACAAAGTTCAGATTATCCAACGAAGAAGCACGAGCCTGAGCTTCATAACCCGCTGACTGCTCAAACTTGCCGTCCTCTTCGAACCAGTCAGTTCTAAACGCAACATCTGGTAATGACGAAGAGATTCTATAACTCCGATGCCCGGTCTCGTCCGCGGACCTGGACAAGCTTCGAGAATAATCTTTCATATCAACAGCCGTTCCTCCACCGTCGGAACCAAACTCTCCGAGGTCATCGCCGTCGTATTCATCATCACCACCACTATAGAGCTCTTCTTGCTCCCCTTTAAGCCGGAAGTGCGAGAGTGTGTGCGGCGGATCTCGATGAGGCGGCGAAGTACCTGGTCGACACTGCGCTTGTGAATGTAGAAGGCGGAAAGAGCCATCAAAGAGGCTCCAAAAAAGGCCGCCATTGCCAAGTGAAGAGATGGTGGCGTGGAAGACGGAGGATCCATAAGATGAAAATCAACAAGTCCCAATGTTTGAGTACGTGTAAGCGAACAGTGAATGAAGTGAACTGAAGAGGAAGAAGATGATGAAATGGTAAGCCGGCGCGCGTTCTCGTGCGTCCTTCACAGGTCGTGTTTGGTAATATCGTTGAATGTGGCAGTTTCTCACTTGCTCAAAGCGTTTAAGCTTTTGGAAAGTCGACCGGAGAACAAAGCCGGTTTTCCGTTTTCCCGCAGAGGCTTAGTGGGGTTGGGACCCACTAGAAGCACAGATGGCAAAGCGTTGGGTCGTCATGTGGATCTTCAAATTTGAGGCCGAGGCCGAGGCCCAGTCCATTACTTTTATAGGCCCAAAGGCCCAGTCTAGTTTGAAACTCCACCTGGGTTGAACTTTAGGATTCCCTTTTTATTTTAATGCAACTATATTATGGCAAGCCCGCGCTTGTAAATTCTATTAGAGAAAACTGGGACAGCCGGACAGCTACCCTGTGACAGGAAGGGCAAAAAAGTTGACAGCAAAAGTGATGATCTTCCAGGGCCATTTATAATACATGTACTAAATTACACTATAAAAAAATCTTATATTTAGGATCGTATCAATACTAATTAGTGGCTTTGACTTGATGCATAAGACTTTCCACTTTATACAATTTCCATAATTAATATCAAACAAATTTTTTTAAAATTTTTTAATTTGAATTAGGATTCATCCTAGAACATTCATCTGGAACTAGAACTAGAATTCAGAATGATTCGGCAAAATTCTTTTTTTTCCCCCCTAAAGAACAGGTATCCTCCTATTAGAGGCAATTCTATTCGAAATACTGTTAGGTATTAAATGTAGACACCTCTTCTAATAGGGATTCGAACCTTGATTTGTCATGTTGTAAGTGACTAGTCTCTTCTGTTAGACCCAATCCCTATTGATTCAACAGAATTCTTAACATTTGCTGGTTCTGAACAATATCAGCCACCTGGAAATCAGTTTGTTTTGGTTTCCAGGCCCATATTTAAAGCCGGGCTTCTTAAGGAGATCAATTGCATTCCACTTGGGCCCAAATGAAGACACAAAAATGAGCCCAATTAACCGATGAGACTTGTACGTATTCCTGGGCTTTCATAGGCATGAAACTGTTAAATACCCTGCAGCATCACGGACCTCATGATGATAACAAGAATTAGTGGTTTATAAAAATGTTTAAATAGAAATCAAACCATAATTTTAAAAGTAATTTTACGGTATACAGAATAAACATGTGGAAGAATTTATCTCGATTTGTAAAAAAGTACTTTTGGAAAGCACTTTTAAGCAAACCCAAACACCTTCTTAGTTGGTAACAAGTGGATTCGTACCTCATAAAATTAAAGGTTCAAATCCTGATAATTTATTTTAGGGTTAATATAATATTTGATCTCTCAGATTTGTCTTCATTTTAGTTTTTATCATTCAAGTTTCAAAACATAGGTTTTGCTTTCTCAAGAGGCAAAATGATCCAAGTTTTTATTGGATTATAAGAATCAATGTTTGAAATGAAAGAAATTTGAGAGATCAAAATCTATGATTTTAAATTTGAGAGACCAAAACCAAAATGAGGATAAACTTGAGAGACCAAGATTTGTATTAACCATTTATTTTATAATTATTAGTTTTAATTAACAAAATCAATACTAATTGCTTAAGATTACAAGAAGATTAAACTTCAGCCTCTCACTTATTGGGGAATTTCTATGTTATGACACTAGATGACGTAATTATTAATTTTTCACTCAGCTTATCTGCACATTAACCTCTACAAATTATTTACAAGTCAAATTAAAAGCATCATGCTTGGATATAAAAATAAAACTAAAACCTGTCCCTCCTTTACTCACACACACACACTCTTAAGTGACTTCATTGTTGTGCAGCACATGAGAGTGCACACCATCCCATCTCCTATTAGAGCACTCACTTCCATTTCCATCACGCGTTTACTTTTTCTCCCTTTTGGCAGAAAAGATAAAAATAGACACATTTAAAATATTTCATTATACTCCTCCGGTCCTAATTATAAGACCCAATTGACTTATTTGAGGAGATTAAGGAAGTAAGTTAAGTTGATTATTTATAATAAATAAGTGTTGTTATTCCTAAAATATCCTTGCTAATTAAGTATATTGGCTAAAACTATCATTATTAGAAGGACTATCTTTGAAAAAAAATGTATAAATATAAGAGATAAAATGGATTGGGTCTTATAATTAGGACCAAATAAAAAGTCAAATTGGGTCTTATAATAAGGACCGGAGGAGTATTATATAAGATTGATTCTAAGACGAATGGCACTACTATATATTCATAAACAAAGGGAATTTCAATCAAAAGATTCTCATCCAAAATCAGCACGCATTCTAATTTACTTCAAAAGTTGATTATATTATTAAATAAATACAGATCATTGGAACTATGAAGTCAACTTTTATTATCATATATGTGGAAGACACTATGATGAGAGATATCATGATTTTTTGAAACTGGGAAAACAAAATAGGAAAAATTAGGTTTTTTTTTTTCCCTATTGCTCTAAACATTGCTCATCACCACGATGACATGTTGGTAGGCATTGAATTCCATTTTGTATTATTCATCACCATTTTCTTATTGAATTTATTGTTAGAGGACTATTTGTAATATATCTTATGTATCTCAAAGTAAAAATATTGAACTTTTGAGCAATATGTCCATAACTTTATGAATTTTAAGATATTGACGCTCTGTTCTGCTGCACATTTTTTAGGTTATGTTAGTGAGTTAGATAAGGGGGGAAAAGTAATTATGGCATGAGAAAAATGTGAAAGTATATCCAAAAGCTACTCGTTTTGCCTAATTAGAAAAGAGGTTCCATCGTGGAATAATGGAATGTGAGTAACATAACCAGAGCCTCAATCTATGGCACTTTTCAAACACTAATTAATCCTCCGTCCATTTTGGATTGGGAGGGAAAAAAAATTGGAAAAATAATACTCCTCTGATCCTAAATATAAGACTCTTATAAGGGTTTTATATTTATAACAAGAAGAGTATTATTTCTTTTTGTTTTGATGAAAGAGAGAAAATATGGAAGAAAGAGGATGTATAAATGCCACAATAACAATAATATCCTTCCTTATGTGCTGATTTATTATATATCACGTCATCATTCATGACAAAACTACATGAAAAAAAAATTATCAAAAAATTTGTACGTAAGAATATCAGAAAAAATAAATTTTCATATTTGTACATGTTGAAAAAATAAATAGAAATATTTTTTTATATTCGTGAAAATGATTTAGTAGGGTTTAATAAAGGGAAAAAAAAAAAGGTGGTGAAAGTCACTCAGTGGTTGGCTGACGGAATGGCGAAGGGCAGCAATTGAAGAAGAATTTCATCCCAAAGTACGTCCCTACCGAGAAAGAAAACTTGGGAGGAATTATGATAAATCCAACTCCTCTCCCCCCCCCCCCCACACATTTCTTCCATCATCCAAATTCCAAATAAAAACAAATTACAACAATCCTCATGTATACTGTCTCGTGTTTTGTTTCACCTCAAATTTTACTCCCACCCAAACATAAGGTTACATCCCGGACAGAAGGGAGTAATAAAAGTACTCTCCATATCTCTTATTATAAGAAACAATAACTAAATTCACGCGGTTCAAAAGAGTAGTTAAATTTAATTAAAAGCAATAAATATATTAAAAAACATACTACCTCCGGTCCTAATTATAAGGCCAGTTGACTGATTTCAGGAGATTAAGGAAGTAAGTTGAGTTAGTTATTTGTCCTAAATAGGTGTTGCCTTTCATAAAATATCCTTACTAATCAAGTGTATTGACTAGAACTATCATTGTTAGAAGGGCTACTTTGGAAAAAAAATGTATAAATATGAAAGACAGTGGATTGGGGTTGTATATTTAGGATCAAAATAAAAGTCAAACAGAGTCTTATATTAAGGACCAGATGTAGTATTTTTTTTATTATACCTTTATTTGTGAAAGAATATATGAAAGATAATAAGTGAAAATATATTGTAGATAAATAAAAAGTAACATATATTTGATGGGATAAGATTAGTTTAACATATCAGAAATAAAAAATTTATTCCTTATTTATTCAGAGAAACTACTATGAAAGCGATTGTTTCCAACCAAGAGAGTTAAAAAAAAAAAAAAAAAACCTCTCTTTTTCCATGCTTCATATCTGAAACAATGGAAAAGCAGAAACGAAAGATTTAGATCTGTTCATTTGGGGTCATACCTGCATTTACATTGGATGGTAGTGGAAGCTGCATGCCCCCAGGGAGGGGTCGGTCAAGGATAAGATTTAGGTTCATACATAGTGGGGTGGATCAATTTCGGCCATTTCAAAACGTGGTACCACGTTCTTTCATTTCTTTACTGTGTTGCGCATCACTTTCGGTCCTTCCCACTACATGCACACGCAATCCACACATTTTGTGGCACACAGTCACAAAATAGCCTCTTTCATTTTGAATTCTCCTGCCCTCAGTAATCAGTGGTGTCTTTTGCTCCTGTAATCTCGTACAATGATGTTTTGTCCCTACCTTATCTTAGTCCTGTTTGCTATTTATTGTCCTTGTCACTATCACAATAGCCACCTTTTTTTTCCCTGCCCCTGTTCTGGAATTTCCCTAGGTTCATCTCCCTGTGTTTCCCTGCCTATTTTTGGAAATCCAATTTGAGTTACTCTTTTCATTTCTCAGTTAATTTCAATTTTATAAATTTTTCCTTAATTTTTGTTTGCAATAAAAATGAAACCTGTAAAAAAAAAAAAAGAATGAACAGTTAGTTGTCCTAACTGTAATGCTTTACGTGAGGTTTTGAGTTTGAGACTGATGTTAACATATTTGCGTATATATACGTGTTTGATTGTATTATATTATATTCGGTTTTTAATATAAGAACTCATTTGAATTTTATTTTGATCATGGATATGAGACCCCAATCTACTTTATCTCTCATGTTTATCTATTTTTTCTCAAAGTAATCCTTGTAATAATAATAGTTCTAACCAATACACTTGATTATGAGAAATATTTTATGAAAGACAATACATATTTATTACAAATAACTAACTTAGTTAATTTTTTTGATATACCAAATTAGTTAACTAGTTCTTATATTAATGATGAGGGTAGTATATTAAGAAAAGGAAAATGTAAAAAAGAGGGAATGATGGTTAGGCCTAAAATAATATTATCTAAAAATGACAGTTCCAAAGGTAACTCTCAATTTGCAACTCATTTTTAAAAATATTTTCAGGAGCATAAGTGTCATTAATTAAATCGATCTTTTGAGATTTAAATGCCATTCTCCCTAAAAAATGTAAGAATTAAAAAAAAAGTTAAATTTAGATAATCTAATTTTAATTAATCAGCATGGTTTCTTAAGGACATGCCCTCTGACGGGAAAAAAATTTAAGGATGTGCCCTCCACAAAATCCAAATTATTATTCTTTTTAACTCGTTGCAAAATCCACATTATCCTATGGGATCTGCTTTCTCCACTAACTCATATTTCATGCATGCGCCATCTATGACAATGCTGAAATGTAATACTACCACTATTGATAAGAACAAGCATTTATAACAATGATCACTAAGCAACAACGTGTAAATAATTTGGATTACAAAATACTACCTCTGCTATTTAATATAAGACCCTGTTAGACTTTTATTTTGATTCTAATATAAGACCCCAATCTATTTTGTCTCTTATATTTATACATTTTTTTTCAAAGTAACCCTTCTAACAATGATAGTTCTAATTAATACACTTGATTAGCAAGGATATTTTAGGAAAGACAACACCTATTCAGGACAAATAACTAACTTAACTTACTTCATTAATCTCCTCAAATTAGTCAACTGGCTCTTATAATTAGGACCGGAGGTAGTAGTTACTCCCTTCCAGTCTTACATATAAGTTACAGTTATTTTTAGGATAAAACTGATTTTTAATTTACATAATCTCTCACAAGGTCCATAATTTCACATCACAACCAACCTTTTAATTTCTTTTGTAGACCTCCGATCCATCGACGTCGAGTTATCTTCAACCTGGAAATTAGAGATGAACTTCTTTTTTTTTGACCAGCGAGATGAACCACTATCATCTCATCTCATCAACATAATTAAGTTTGGACAGTAAACATCGCATAGCTTGACTAAACCCATATAGACCTGTCAAACTTATCCCATAAAATCGGACAAGCTGATATAAGTTGTGGGGTTTCCTGTAGCGCAAATGAAAACATGGAAAATTTTGAGGTGATTTTTTGGTACAGTTTTGATGGGACTTGAGTTAGATAAATATTCTTTCATTTTTCTTATTTTTAAAATTACATATATACCTTTTACTTGATTATTATTGTTTGAATATGAAAATTTTCATTATTCTTTTTTTAGTGAAAATTTAAATTTCTCATATATTACCTCCGGTATTTAATATAAAATCTCATTTGATTTTTATTTTGGTCCTAAATATAATACCACAATTCATTTTGTCTCTCATATTTATGTATTTTTTCTCAAAGTAGTCCTTCTAATAATGATAGTTCTAACTAATAACATGATTAGTAAGAATATTTTAGGAAAAAAACAACATCTTATTATTACAAATAACTAAATTAACTTATTTTCTTAATCTTCTCTAATTAATCAACTAGTTTTTATATTTACTATTTGGGACCGGAGGCAGTACCAATTATATATAGTACTAAAAATAGAAAGGCTAAGGATAAATGAGATGAAAGTGATCAAAACGACTTTAAAATTTAGTGCTTGTCATTAATCTTGGAGAGGATAAGATAAATGCACAGTAAGTGCTATGTCACAAGCCATCAAAAATTCATGTATAAGCATGCTGTTTATAATGGCTGAGCTTCTTGTATCGGACCGTGTGGATAGTTTTAATATTCCTCTAATTTTAAATATAACCTCTTTCACAGTATAAATTATACTATAAAACGGGTTTTATATTTAGAATTGGAGGAGTATTATTTTTTGTCTTCTTAAATGTTTTTAAATAGTAAAAAGTAGTTAATTCCTCGCAAAGTCACGAAGTGACGAAGGAATGTTTACATAATTATATAATTCTTCACATTTCTATTTTGTAATTTGCGCATGACCCACAAAATTGAATTACTCTGACAGCATAGCTGACTGCAATCACTTTAAATTTATTTAATATAGTATTTTATCATACATGCATAATCTTGATACCATTAACAGCGATCCAGATTTTCACTAGCCTTTGTGCGAAGCTAGCTCAACATCGGGAGCAAAATCTACATCAGTTGGCTTGTAACGATATTGCCGAGCAACCAGGAGAAAATAAACCATGTTCAGAGCCGCAATCACAGCAATAAGGTAGTAGAAATAGTCCAATCTACCATCATTGATGTCATTCGTGAGCCAATCTGGATGCGTATGTGTTCTTGTGGTGCGATGAACTGCGGTCACTAGAATCGTGCTCACATAGTTAGCTCCAGCAAACGAGCAAGAGAACAAGGAATTAGCAATGCTCCTCATGTGCTCGGGAAATTGTCTGTTAAAGAACTCTATTTGTCCGATTATATTGAACGCTTCACACATACCCATCAGAATCAGTTGTGGTGCTAGCCAGATCACCGACATGGGGGCGATTCCTAGTGGATTTGGATTGGAATTGGCTGAGTCCCTTCTCACTTTCTCGACCATACCGGCGACGATCATGGAGAGGATAGAGAAGACCATGCCGATTCCGATTCTTTGAAGCAGAGTTATGCCCCCTTCGTGTTTGGTGATTTTCCTAAGTGAAGGTACGACGAACCTGTCGTAGAAAGGGACCCAGAGGCCTATGGTGAGGAATGAGATGACCCCAACTGAACCTGCTGGGATTTGGAACTTAGGTCCGAGGTGTCTGTTCATTTTTAAGGCTTGTGATATCGTGAATGTTCCTTGTTGTGCCATTGAAGTCAAGCTGAGGATCCCAGCAGCCCAGATTGGGAAAGTCCTCGCTAGGCATTTCACTTCTTCTACTTGCTGTATGCTGGTAAGCCTCCACTGGTTCACTCTGGTCCCATCTGGGTTCAGCTCACCCTCCATGATCAGACAGGCTTTGTTTAAGCTCCTATCCAATAAAACAATAAATAAATAAAGAACCCCAGTGATGTCATTACAACATAATGATTTAAGAGCTGTCTAGCTTCCTATTCACCAGTCCTTTTCTTCGAGAAAATAACTAAAGGTATAAGAATATATGTTATTTTAGTCTCCTAGCTAAGTTCTCTCTAATAATTTAATGTTCTTGGTCGCTTACTCTAATTATTGTTCAGTAAAGTAAGGCCTACGTAATCAGATTTCTTGCTGATCTGTTTGACACCCAGTTCTAATAGAATAAGAAATTGTCCATGATAGAGATGTTTAACCTGAATTGATCAGTCAAAGGGAGTTTTGACAAAAAGCTGGAACCTTCCTGTAAAGGCGGATCATAGAAAACCCCATCGACTTTCTCATCACTTGGAAGCTCCACATGTCGCTTTTTGTAAGCAGCAACTAGGACCTCCGCAATGCCAGAGAAAATACTCCCTTCTGGTTTAACATGCACATAGATCCTCCTCCCAACGAGGAACATGATGATTGAGAGGAACATACACACAGTTGGTATCCCAAACCCTATCTTCCAGCTAACAGAGTCTTGAATATAGACCACCACCGTCTGGGTTATGAGCAAAACCACAGTGAATGTAGTGTAGTACCAATTGAAGAAGCTATTGATCCCTTTCTTGCCTGCACTAGTAGTGGGGTCAAATTGATCGACACCAAAAGGGATACTGCAAGGTCTTATTCCAGCAGAGCCTATGGTTAAGAAACAGAGTCCCAGGATCAGAACACCAAGATGAGTACTGTTAGCTTTCACACACTGGTTCTGTGCTAGTTGCTCAGGAGTGCAAGATGGAGGATGCAGGTTGGGTAACCAAGCTGTTAGAGTCACTGTAATCATCCCCTGTTTAGCAAATTTTTCAATTAGAGGGGGAAAATTTGATGAAGAAAAAAAAATGGAAGAAAAATCCAAAGGAGAAAGTGGTTGCGATTTTTGAAAGTGACGTGACGGTAGCTTGAACACGTGAAATTGAAATTCATGTCATAGATTTCTGGAGAATTTGTCATCATATTGGGTACAATTCAAATATCTTATAATATTGAAACTTGCAATTTGTCCATTTTTTCACCCTTACAATTATGACTTTATTTCTTTCTTAAAAATTTTGAATTTGAATTGAGGTTACTTATTTTATAACCTTCTTTTCTCACAGTCTACAACAAAGTGTGCTGTTAAATGGTCTTTTTTAAAAAAAGAGAAAAAAACACCGTTTACTTGGTCAATAATGTTATCTGAAAACATCATGTTCACAGATGCAAAGGGCACTTCCCTTGGCACTGTAATTTTCTCAAGCTTGCCACAGCGGAGAGAACAGTGCAAACACTATTTTATTGCAAATTGACTAAAAAGTAAAAATTTTCCTTTGCACAGAAGATTATCATTAAGGTGAGAACCCGAACTGCACCCTTCACAAGATAACAAACAATGAACAAAGTTAAATGGGCTTCTCAGACCGGTTGTACAGAGGCAACATCTTTTAGAGAGGGGATTACCGACATCCTTTTCTCCTTAAATTATATAATTTCTATGTTTTATTATAGCTATAATTTTTTAATTTTAAATATATATACACACACATATAGAGTAATTTTTATAAAAATTTTCCTTGAAAAAATCAAATTCAAAATCATCTGGCCTTAAATATTATAAGAAAATTTTAATTTGAAATGTAAATTGATTGTTATATGAAAAAAATATTTTAAAATTGATGGGAAGTTCAGACAAATTAAAAAATCACATCTTTTTACCTGTACACACACACCACATTTGTGTGTGGCATATGGTGAGTGAATGTGTGTGTGTGTGTGTGAGAGAGAGAGAGAGAGAGAGAGAGAGAGAGACTGTACCAGAAGGGAAGCAACGGAAGCATAGGCAATAGTCTTGAAGCGACCAGCATAGGCGTCGGAGATGAAGGCACCGAGGAGAGGAGCAAAGTTGGTAAGACCAAACCAAAGGTTCATAATGTTGGAAGCAAAGACTTGATCCATATGAAGCTCTCTCGTCAAGTACACCATAAAGTTCGCAAACAACCCAAACACTGCCAACCTCTCAAACGTCTCGTTCCCTGCACTTACCCAAAAATATAAAGAACCATACATGCATGTTATGATCTGTGAAATGAAAACACTACTTTTCTTCTTCATTATAACACGCACGTATCTGTAAAGGAACTTAATTAAAGACTTCAATAATTAATCACGGACCTAGAATGAAAGGCATGGCCCTCCATCCTCCAGGCTGCTTCTTCTTCTGATGGCCACCTTCCTGCTTGTCTGAAGAACTTGAACTGCAAATGCAATTTCTGCAGCACAGAAGCCACCATGATGAAGAAGAAGAAGAGCTCTTGGTTTCTTTGTCATCTGCTGATGAGCCTGACATTTTGCTCTCTACTTACGTGCTGATCTCTTTGCTCCTCTTTCCAGCTAATGATCTCTCCCTCTCTACATATATATAGATATGGAAGATTTGGGAGCACCCACTTCTCCAGGCTTTTGGGTTGGAGCTCGGCGATAGGATGAGTCGCGACGCTGATTTATAGGTACACAGGCATAGAGACAACAGGCTTTAAAATCCCTTTTCAGTCCTCTACTTTTAGGTATAATTATTTATTTATCTATGATGGTTTGTCATTCATATAATTATTAATATTATTCCGTTTGGTTAAACAACAAGGTATTTTTAAAGCATAAATTGAGACATGTAATGTTTTTATTCTTTTTTATCTTCAATTACAAGTCATGTATTTTTTATTCACGTAATTAATTATATTGCTATTCTTCATTTTATTCTATCTACATGACAAGTACTATATACACACAGAAAATTGTTATGAGGTCTCAATTATAAAAACAATTACAAAAAAAAAAAATTCAATGACAAATGAAAAGTTATTATGTCTTACAATAAAACTCTTCATTAAAGAAAAAAGATACTTTCTCTGGTCTAAACGTAGACGCTAAATAACTAATTTATAAAAATTAAGGATATTAGTTAATTTTATTATTTGTGAAAAATATGTGGGTTTCTCTAAAAAAACTTCCTTTAATCATTTGCAGTGAAATTTAATTAATAGGAATAATTTAAGAAAAATAATAACTTTGACATACAAAATGAATTATGATATTCCTCTTGTCTTTGATATAAGACCTAATTATTGAGTTGGTTTTAGTCCTAAATATAAGACCCATTTCTTATATTTATCAATTTTTTCTAAATTACCCCTATGTATACTCTCTCAACTATAATCAAGTAGAAGAAGGAGATGGGGTGTTAAGAAAGATGATTATGATGTTTTAAGAAAAACGCATCACATTTCTTATAATTAACCAATTTATCTAACTTCCTTGATCTAAGATCAAACTAGTTAAATATGTTTTATATTAAGGATCAGAAGAGTATGTTCGTGAGCAAATCAAATGGGTCAAAGACGACTTAGGAGGATGAGATTTGAGAGATGCATGTGTGGAGGAGAGGGTGGGATGAGAAAATACATTGATATACAGAGCAGTGGTTGCGTGCTGTGCTTCCGATGTTCAGTGGAACGGTGGTCACTCTTCATGTATACGTCATGAATCATTCACATATCATTGCTTCGTTGCAAAACTATGATATACTACCTCCTGTTATTAATATAAGATCATATTTAATTTTTATTTTGATCCTAAATATAAAATCTCAATCTATTTTGTTTCTCATATTTATGTTTTTTTTAAAATAATTTTCTAATAATAATAGTTCTAATTAATACACTTGATTAGTAAGGATATTTTAAGAAAGACAACATCTATTTAAGACAAATAACTAACTCAACTTATTTTCTTAATCCCTTCAAATTAGTTAACTGGTTCTTATAATTAGAACAGGAGGTATTACATATCCATCCATATGTAGCCTCCCTCTATCCTCTCTCTCAATATATTCATCTTCATTATACATTATTGTTCATGTGCAAAAAAAATATTACTATTTTCAGTCTTTTATATAAAAGCCAGATTACTACTGGCCTGATTGATTTAATGACTCGTTACAACTGTGTGTTGATCTATCTGAATTATTCTCTTTAATCATGTCCATTGAAACACCTATTGGTAAGAATCTCTTACAATTTTTTTTTTAAAAAAAGAGAGACAAAATGGACTGAAATATTATATTTAGGACCGAATCTAATTTTCTAATTAGCTCTTATATTTAATATTAGAGGTAGTATTTTTAATAGCTGGATTGAACCAATATATTACGTGTAGAAATAAGTAACAAGAGGAAAGTATGGAGATGAGTTTCTAATTCCGAAGCTAATAATAATTGAACTTCGAAGATCGATGGAGTAGAAGGAGTTACGTTTCAATGTTTATTATAAAGTTACAAGTTGATCATGAAATAAAACACATCTATGTTTTGGTAAAAAGCTATGGTGACTTCAGCTCCAAACGTATTTCCAAACATTTGTCCATTCATATTCCACCAATTGCTTCATTCATCATTTCTACATCATTAACAGTTAAGCCACTTCCTCTTCAATCCTCTCAGTCATCTCTAAAGAATAAATTTATTGGACGGGTCATTAAATCGATCATGACAGTAGTTTAAAAATTAGTGTTCCAACCCGGCTACATGATAAAATTGGTATTAATTAATTAAACTAATCATAATCAAATTAAAAATTAGTGTTCCAACCTGGCTACATGATAAAATTGGTATTAATTAATTAAACTAATCATAATCAAAATAATATAATTTAATTACAAGGTATAAAAATATTTATATATAATTATGAAGAGAGTGGTATTTAAATACAAGGTATTAATAAAAAAAATCTACAAATAAATGGAATGTTCATGTATAAATCATATATAATTCAACAAAATAGAGTTACCAAACTACAAATCTGACGATCTACTACTATTTTTAATTCAAAATGATGCTGTTTTAAGCTTAACACAGATTTTAAAAAAAATCCAGCCTGATCAACTTGTGTGCGTAAAACTCTTGACCAGACCTACCAAATGATCATCTCTCTACTAAAGCATATTAATAATAAAAAATCATTGGTATATCGTATAAAAGTTAAATCCGCCCTGTTATATATGTTTTTACAATTTTTTATTGATAAAAAGCGCCTTAATTTCTGAAACTGGCTCTCTTTTATAATTTCATGCTATGTTTGAATTGACCATCAGAACCCCCACCACCTTCATGATTAAGTTTGACTAACTGACACTATTTTGAGAGTTATCACATCGGGGAATCGGGACATCACTCTGTGCAAATATATATTTTAATAATACATTCAGTTTATTGTCTTTTTCTTCCAGGAGATTAAATTACAATAATACTGAAATGCATGAAACAGCTTTCTTTTTACGTGGATTTCATCATAAATTCACCTTTGGCCCCCCAAAAAAAAAATCATAAATTCAGCAAGTTTTCGTTGGGCTTGGTCAGATTTTCAATCCAACAATGAAAGTTAAGGGGGATATTTGCTAGGAGTCGTAATTAACACAGTAATTGACACGAAGCTTGCTGTTTAATTTTTGGCTAATTATATTTTGAAGCTGATCCGCAAACACAATTGATGCAAAAAGGTGAACAAACTAAAAATCTGTTTTAAAATTCTATTACTTGACGGTAAATTACTCATCTGATTCTTAATATAAAACATATTTAACTAATTTGATTAAATTAAGAAAGTTAGATAAGTTAGTTAATTATAAGAAATGTGACATGTTTTTTTTTAAAAACACTATAATTATCTTTCTTAATATCCTTCTTTCCTCACTTACTTGATTATGGTTGAGGAAATATCCATAGAAATAATTTAAGAAAAATTGATAAATACAAGAAATATGTCTTATATTTAGGATCAAAATTAACTTAATAATTAAATCTTATATTGAGTAGCGGAAGAGAATTTTGTTTCTGGTCAATGATTGTGGAGATGATGAATTTGGTTCATAATGGGTCGTATATTCATTTTCGCAAGTGGGAATTGGTTATTGGTTGTGAGGACTTTTCCAACATTTTCCCCTTCCGCATTGTGGAACTCGCATAAATTCAAAGCACGGGTCATATGTAATTAATGCTCATCCGCGCCACTGCTCTGATCCTAGCCACTTGTTGGGGAAATTTTTTTTTCAATTTTATTTATATTTAACTATTGCTGGAAAAAGAAGAGAGAAAGAGAGAGGAGTGAAAATGATTTGTAAATGCAAAAATTTTGACAAGAATAAATTGAATTTTTTTATCAATTTAATGATATGAGTTACAAATAATTTATAATGATAATCAGAGCGATATGTTTGAGGGATCCAACTCATTGGCGTGGGTGACTGAATTCAAGGCGCAAGGACCGCGTATCATTAACTCTAATCTACAGATACTTAATTAATTAATTAATTACTATATTTTGATAATTATTTGTTACCAAATGGATTATATCCACCTCTCTTAGCCTTACCATTAAAATATTTTGAATCTATTCATTCATAGCTGCCCCAAGCCCCCAGTCATCCTTGATTTTTTTTGGTAGAAAAAAATTTAGGTGAGCCGGGTCTCAGGACTCACCAAGGCCAGGACATACCTCCAGACTCAAAGAATGCTTACAGAGGTATTTACAGATTACCCGCTAACAATATCCTTACATCGATAGCGGGATTCGAACTCGCAACCTTATGGATTATAAGTCGATTTCGTACCAACTGGACTAACTCTAGTTAGTCAGTCATCCTTAATTTAACTTCTTGTGACGACTCTTTATGATTTGTTGCCATTATATGGTTATCCTATTTTTATTGTTTGATTAAAAAAGAGGCTTAATTAATTAATTCCTAATATCTTGCTTTATTTGTCTCATTACCTAGTTAGGACAAAGAATCAACACCCTCTCTAGATCAGTCTTAGGCATATCTGTTACGTTAAAGCCTTTTACCTGAATCTCAAAGAAATACATACTTTTGATAAGGTGATGCTAGCTATAAGATTAAGTGCACTTAGCTAAAAAGAAATTGACTTATTCTCTGAAACGTTTTCAATTAATTCTTAAACAAAATAATTTATCATTAATATGCGATCTTTTACGCAACATATTATTTAAAGCATTAATTAAAAAAATCAATTTAATAAATAAAACTAAAATTTTCAAAGAATAATTAGAAAAATAGAGGACAATCAAACGCGTTGGTCATTGATAGTGATAAGGATGGCGGCTGGCTCTCTGGCTTTTCAGTGAAACAGGAGCAAATTAAATAGCAATATTCATTAATGGAGAAAGCGAAGGGAAGCCACAAAAAGATAGAGATGTAAGTATCAAACAAAGAAAGCTAGTGGATGTAAAATTAAAATCCTTTCATTTCTCGTGGCATTATGTGAATTTTGAATCCAATTTTAATTTGCTTTTTCCACCCCAACATATTCTGTTCACACATCATCATCGTATCACAATTTGGCCCATTTGATTTCATAATTTGCGCCCTCATGTATCAT